CCCCTCGTTTGTTGTCCTCTTCTCCCTCTCTGCCTACGGTTTACCGGGCAGTTCTATTTGACGATATATATATATTTCTGGGCGTTTTTTTGGCCTGCCCGGTTTACCCGGGCGGCCGCCCCAGGCCCAACCGGCTGGGCCCAGCCCGGCCGGGCGGCGTCCTCACTCAGAATTTTCAATTTTTTGAAAACTTTCTTTCTTCATGACCTGGACCCGCGGTCATGATCGGGACGTCCTGACTGTGACCGGACACTGTGGTGAAGACCGTGGCAACCGCCGGTCACGTGGATTCATAGTCTACGTTTAATGGTAAATACCTTGTTGATGCTCCACATGTTATGACTCTCTACGTTCACTGGTGAATACCCTGTTGATGCTGCACATGTTATGACTCTCTGACAGCTTCGCCAGAAATGTGTTCTTGGGATCACATGCTTGCCATGCACAATAATGCAACATGGACCTTTTCATTGCCCATTCCTTGCATGTGAGAAACAGCAAGCCGAGGACTTGGTTTGAGACTGCTCTATCCTTGTCGAATGTATACCTCTGGTAACTGGGGCTTAAATGAACGGCATGTTTGATTGGTTTTTTGCGGATGTCAAGTGAGTCCTCAAAGCCACGTGCGTGAACCAGATGGATTTTGTTATACGAAGAGGGAAGGCTACAGTGAGCTTACAAAGGGAAATTTAAGGGGTTGTAGGCAAGCTGAGCTGGAGTTGAATGAAGAGGAAAATGCAAGGAACAGAATGGAGGAGGACGTAAGAGGGAGGAAAGGAGTGCTGCTGTGAGTTCAAGAAATTTGATTCAATTCGTTTGTATGTTCTCAGCCTTAAACGATCAAACAATTACAAAGCGTATTGTTCTCCGCAATCACTGTTATCGGAATGCAGCTAGCTGAAGAGGAAGAGATCAAGCTTCTGCGTAAGCAGATGGTGCCTCGTGCGCGATTGATGCCCTATTTCGATCGTCCATTCCGGCCCAGCAAGTAAGCATCCGTGCATATCCATCAATCATTGGCTTAATATGCCCCTGTCAAAGTTTTTGCCTCGTACTCTGGGCACTTGTCTCGTACTGCTGTTGAATGTCTTCCATCTTTTCTTTCCATAAATTCCGTCTAACTATTACCCTGCTCAGCT